CTGGAGTGTATGTTGATGCTAGATACAGAATCTTATTGAATAAATCAGACAAAATCAAAGCCAGAGAAGGTTTGGCTGATATTCAATTGCGATTAAAAAGAAAAAAAGTATTTGATTCAGCAAAAGAGTCAACATCTGTTAATGTGTCCCAGCCAACATGTGATTTAAATTTTATCTCTGAAGATGATGATGATGATTTTGAAAATGAGCTAGATAGAAGAGAAAACACACGCAAAATTTCTATGAAATCACACATTGAAAATGATTGTGAAATACAAAGGCATTTTGAAGAGGACTGTAAAGCTATTGAGGATGTTGGAAGAATAAAGGTGAATGTCTTCGAAGCCATTGCACATTATCCAGATCGAATCAGACAGTCAAGCAGAATAGCTGCAAGTATGCCAACATCACAAGCCAGCGTTGAAAGATTATTTTCAGCTTTGAAATTAATACTAAGTGATAACAGACAATCGATGAAAGAAGATTTGCTTTCCGCTATTTTGTTTATTAGAATGAATGATTGAATTATTGACTTAACTTGATTATCTTGTGTCTGTATGGTGTATCATTTTTATTTTTAGAACCTGTACTTTCTTAATTTTTTGTATATTTCATCAATTTAACTATACGTTACGGAAGTGGTACTAAAAATCAATCAATTGATTGATTAAAAAAATATTTGAAAAAATTTGTGTTAATTGATTCTAAAACACACTCCCGCCTCGGAGCACGGAGCGGAGCAAACTTTTTTTATGCCGGAGCGGAGCTGGAGCGGAGCAATTCAAAAAAGTGCTTGCTCCAAAGCCCTGAATAAAATTTTGAATATGATTCATCGAAAGTTTAGTCACATCTACTGATGAAATTGATATAATAAATATAAGTTAGTGAATCAAATAAAAATACTACAAACAAAAATCATTCATCAATAACTGACCAGCAGCTGATTTTATCAAATCATCTAAATTTTTATTGAAATTCTCTAATTTTTGGAAGAGACCAGCAAGGCGGATCTCAACGTACTTCCACTTACTGTCCAACTTCTCCGTGTAACCAAGCAACATGTCGTAAATTTGTTGGATGCAACCGGAAGCTGAAGAACCGTTTCCCTGGGCATCCAACACGCCAATGCCTTAGTAAACGACGACGAAGATGAAGAGGATAGAGCTGCAGCTGAGTTTCAAGAGCATCTTGGATGAGTGTAGTTTGATGAGGAGGAGGATTTGATAGAATATCTGTAATATAATATAATTAGCTACACGAGAAATATAACTCAAATAATTTAGTAAGCACAATTTTATTGAATTGAAAGTTTTCAATTCACCGCACTGCAACTTGTCAGTGTCCTTTCACGTTCTTTTATAACGGCTCAGTGAAGCGAGTACCGGTGAATCATCGTCGCCAAACTTTACTTTTTATTTTCCTTCTTTTGAACAATCCAAATAACAAAAATGACTCATGAATTAAATACCGAAACATGGTGATTTATCCACATTGCACACACACACACAGACACACACACACACACACACACACATACCAAACCCATACATCAACTCGCACACAACCTAATACATACATCACACACAGATATGAACACACAGTCACACACACGTCACACGTACACACAGTCACACACACCACATTACTTACACACACCACTAACCCGTACACTTGGGAACAAATGACATTTTTTATTTCATCAAATCAAAACAAAGAAATCAAAGAAATGATATCAATGAAAAAAAATGATCTGGAAATCGAAAAGAAAATATGGTTTTCTTGTAATGATTACCAGTGACAATTGTAAAAATGAGAGCATATTTTAAATATTTTAGTGCATGTGAACTCACATTCTTATTACAAATCCTAAAAAACCAAAAATGGAATCATAATTATTAAGTAATCAACTCTTTTACATTTTTATCAGAATGTCGTTTGTAATTATTGAAACACAGATATATATATATATATATATATATATATATATATATATATATAATTATTAAGTAATCAACTCTTTTACGAATGTCATATATGTCAAATGACATATCCTAACGTATACACACACAAATGCATATAAAGGAATATAGTTATTCACACACACTATATTTATGTTATAATATATTATATATTACATACACAATAATATAGACAATAATACATAATAATTTACAGTGTGATCGGCTTTACATAATTTTCTACCTAAATTTGTGATCAAACCTGTATTATGCAAGCCCATGTTTTGACTGCCTGGAAAAGTTCTGGAATGATGTGTTTTGTCGCTCTTCAAATCTTATCACAGCGTTCAACACGATGAGGATAAGACTTGGCTCGCTCAATATGCTGATTGACCTCATAAATAAAACTCCCTGTAAGAATAATTTATAAATTTTTTTAGTTTAACTTTTTTGTTTATAAATATTAAAGTATTTCAAATTTGAAATAAATTTATAAAATTTGAAATGGAGTTCCAGAATGGATGAGAATGCAGGGTCCCATTCCTAGTTCCCTTGAGTCAGCCATAGACCCAGATTTTAAAACGACAGGATGGGATTCTTATTATGAACCGAAGGAATTCGATTTTTATGTCTCTGGATACTTTGGTAGGGATCAGTTTTTAAATTAGTTGGCTTTAATATTTTCAAAATTTTATCACAATACGTAAAATACTTTTAATAAATATTCTTATTAAGTGTTTACCAACCAGACAAGCTCGGCGATTCTTAGGGTAGCTGCCCAGCTGGTACTGAACGACTTCGGGATTTTTTCCAAATTGGAGATATCGTGAGTAGATATCAACCATTTCCCCAATACTATAACGATAACATCACTGCAATCCTCAAGAAAATCGTCGACATCAAAAATCGTTATTTGACTTATCTTAGTGGGTATTAGTTTTAAGAATTAAAAATTTTGATACAATTAAGTTTTAAACATATATTCCAATTTCATAATCCTGGCCTCAAAATCATAAAAGGATAACCAGGTTAGTTAGGAGCGGCTGGTGCAACTGGAGCCACAGACGCAACTGCTAATGCTGACAATGGCGATAACAATGGAAACAGCGGAAATGGCGGCTTCAAAGCTCCTAGTGGTTTTAATGATTCCAATGGTTTCGATGGTTCAAATGGTTTAAATGGTTCCAATGGTTCAAATGGTTCCAATGGTTACTATGGTGGTGGTTCTGATGGAGGCAAAAGAAAGAGTCCTCTAAGAAACAATTTTAGAAAATTGAATTGAGACTGCAGGACTTCTATGCAACAACATTAGCACTGAATTAATAAAGCACTTTAAATTAATCATAAAGTTTGAACTATAGTAGCAAACCGTAAAGTTTTATAGAACATTTTTAGTCAATCATAAGTAGCTTATATAATGCGTGAATTTTTGTAGATAACACTTAGATGCTTAATAAACTTATGTATCAAAATGCAAAACGTGTTGAGCTTTTTTCCAATTAAAATTAAATTAATAAAAAAACATATTTTATCTTTATAATTTAATTTCAAATCCTAAACATATTTCCAATACAAACTTTATTAACTCCTTAAACAGCGGTGAAAAAACGCTGCAAACATCGTGTGTAATCGGATCGTTTTAATTATAAACTGATACATTCATCAGTGGGGATACGCTGGTTGAACCCCACCTATCAGGACATGAAAAAAAGATACGAATATCTGCAACATATTTTTTAGGTCGAAATATAGAGCACTCTCTTAAAAGGTCACAAATTTACTCAATAAAGTAACAACGTACGATAATTTAAAATTAATTCGAAAAATTTAGAAATTCTACAAACAATTTTGTCGTCATTGTTATTTAATTGTATTAATCTAAGTTGTTTGAAAATTCATTATTTACAGATCGATCGAAAGCAATAAATCTGTCTGTTAGGCGCAAAGTACATCATACTTAGGCATACAAAAAAGGCTGTTAAAAACTTTATGTTTTTTGAAAATGTTGTCTGTGTCTCGACAAATATTGAAATCATTTAAATCTTTTTTCGATGTATTTTTATTTAACAGCAGTATGTAAAGTTTTGATAAGTTTTTTGATAACTAAAATTTTCACAAATAAATAAATATAAACAATATACCGGATTATAAGTTTATATGTTCCTACGTTAAGAGTCCATGATTTTCAAGATATATGTATTGTGTAGTGTATAGAAATGTTAAGACGTTCTGGATTTTAAAATTTTGTACGGCTATCACTGCTACCAAGAAGAAAACGAAGGACATCATGTTTATTTGAATCAGTTTTACTCAACAACGATTCCTTTCCATTGATTTATAATCTATGCTGATAAATACAATTAAAAGTCAGATACAAACAATAAACACACGTTTAAGCACACCATTGCGAACGTTGTAAATGTAAACGATTACAAAATATTTTACTTTAAATTATTAATTATTCAACAAATTATTTATTTAATCTTACGGTTTTAAAACGATAAACAGTCACGATATATTGTAAAAAGTGTGAAATATTCGGTAAGTTAGCTGGAAATACTTTCCGGTCATCACTCATCATGGTTAGGAAGACGAGGAGGATGTAGTTCGCCCAACAGCTCGCCAAGCACCAACCGCAGAAATTCCATCTTTCTGTCTGACAGGTTGTACCTTTTTGCCATTTGCCTCCTTCCTGTTCGATCTGTTTGTTTGTTTGTCGGGTGGTCATTCATGATGCTAATAATCATTTAGATAATAATGAATGATGATTTTAAGACAAATGAATAACGTTAAACGATGATGCAGGCGTTTCGTCCTACAAGGTTTAATTAATCAACTTTATTTAGCGAGTATTTATTTATTTAATTGATTCTTAATTTTCAAGTTATTAAAAAAAAAGTTATTTATAAAACTATTTAATTTTACCAAAGTGATAAAAAATAACTTGAATTTTTTATCAAGTGAGTTATTATAGTTGGTTTTTCCGTAGAGTGACTTAAAAAGTAGGAGATGTCAGGCGTTTTTTTTTTTTTGCGATGTCTATGGTTTACCCGACATCGTGTTTTTGAATTTTCAATCTCTAAATTCTCCGTTTTAACTAAGTTTTTGCTTATTTTCACTAATAAATCAATAATTAATAATTTACTTTTTTTTGTCAATGTTTTAAAAAAAAAATTCGCTAAAGTTTTTGTTGTTATAATACTTTTGGCTACTAATTATCGCTCACACCTCAATCGAATGATCCAATACACTCGCCAACAACTGCTTGATTTTCTACCGGATACATTCGCCATCAAAAGACCGCTAAGAAAAACTCTCTTTCTTAACAAAATTTGGAACCCAGATCATCACCAACGCCTCTCCACTTTTCTTCATTCGCAACATCATTCTACAGCAACAGCAACCTCAACAACATCAACTTCAACATCAACACTGTAACGGGTTCGATATTAACTAAACGCAACGACAGATATATTATTAATCCTCCTTTATTAAAACCTAACTAAATAATTAATCGAATAAATCAAATTAACGAAAATGCAACGATACAATAACCAACTTTACTACCGTCAACTCCGGCCCAAGAGCCACAGAAAAGAAAGAGAGATTAACTTATTTGCGCAGGCTATTTATAGACATGCACGGTGCTCTCTCCTAGGTAAGCGCTTGTACTTTGGTCTAGTAACCGACCCACGTGACCATACGGCGCTCTCTCCTAGGTAAGCACACGTGCTTTGTGCTAGTACTTAATCCACAAAAATCAATGTCCAAAAAAAAATGATATTTCTTGACTTTTATATCCTGGAGAGAAAATCGGCAACATTACGTGAACCTGGACGATAACAGAATTGTGTATTATACTCTTGAAGGGCCAATATCCAACGGGTAAGCTTTGAACTTTTTGGTGTCGATTCCGTCAGGTACGATAATGGATTATGGTCTGTAAAAATTTTGATTTTGGATAGGCAAATCCACGATCGGAATTTCTGAAGAGCCCAAACTATCGCGTATGCTTCTTTTTCGATCGTGGACCATCGTTTTTGAACATCGGTCAGTTTGCGACTAGCAAACGCAATAGGTTTTTCTTTCTTGTCGTTGCCCCATTGAATTAAGCAACAACCTACCGCACATTCACTTGCATCTGTTATTAATCCAAACTCTCGTTGGTAATCTATGGTGTTCAATACGGTGGCATCCTTCAACTTCTGAATCATCAGATTTAATGCATTCTGATGGTTGGTGGACCATATTATTCGATTCGATGGTGATTTCTTAGTCAACTCGGTGATCGGGTGCATCGTTGCAGCCAGGTTGGGTAGGAATGTTTCAAAATAATTAAAAAATCCAATTAATTTCCCACTAGATGACCTAGGAACTTAATTCTCTTCTGCGCAAACCGACATTTGTCTAAATTCAACGTTATTCCGGCATGAGAAATTGTCTGTAAAAAACTTCGAAGGTGTTGGACATGTTCTGACCAACTATTAGAAAACACGGCAATGTCATCAATTTAGGTTTCTGTGAACTGATATATATCTTTTGTAAGTTCTTTCATGGCGCGTGTGAAGGTTACTCCTGCCGACTTTAATCCAAAAGGCATCCTTTTAAATTCAAACAAACCTTCATCGCAAACGAACGCAGTTAACCATCTTGAACTTTCTTGTAAGGGTATTTGCCAATATCCAGATCGTGCATCAAAACAACTGATGAAGTTGGCATTGCCCACTTTTTGTAGTACGTCCTTTACATCTGGAATTGGAAATCCATCATTTGTTGAATGTTTGTTAACATAACGATAATCCACTGCCAAACGTACGCCTCCATTATTTTTTAACACGCATACCACTGGGCTAACCATCTCACTGTTCGAAGGTACAATAATATCTTGTTCCAACATCTCTTTGAGCTGACGCTTTACTTCCCCCCTGAGTAACTCGGGAATTTTGTAGGCTTTTAAACGTTTGGGTTTAAATCCTTCATTAACTTCAATACGATGTTGCGTTCCTTTAAAAAGTCCTATTTTCGTGGAGAATACGGCTGAGAATTCCTTAATCAAGTCAATCAATTCTCGACTTTCTTGTTTTTCTAGGTCACTAATCTCCTCCTCGTTAATTTTTGGTTTGTTTTCCTTCTGTTCTTTTTCATACGTATCTAATACGCCAAAATCTGAATCATTCTCTCAAAGAATAACACAGGTATTGATCATGGCCTCTTCAATTCTTTTATGGAATCCATGAAGTTTATTGGCATGCACATGATATTTCTTTCCTTCCAACTCAACTAGGTAAGAATAAGGTGACTTCACTTTCGCAATAGACGCCGGTCCTTGCCATTGGTTATACCATTTGCTTTTCATCTTCAAAGGTGCGAGCATAATGACCGAGTCGCCAACTTTAAAATGTTTGTCCTTCGTGCGAAGATTGTAATTACGTGTGTAACGCTGCTGTTCCTTCTCTAAATAGTATGCTGCATAATTCTTCGCCAATTCCAGATTTTTTTTAAGATTTTGGAGATATTCTGATCCTCGGCCAACATTTAAAGGAAATTCTCGTTCACCTGTCCAGTTTTCTTTCACCACTGTTAAAGGGCCTCTCGGCAACATTCCATACAATAATGTAAATGGACTTACATGGGTCGTGGCGGAAGATCGTTCTCTCAAGCACCAAAGTACAAATGGTAATACTTTGTGCCAACTACGTGGATGATCTTGGGTAACCTTGTATATCATCGTCTTCAGGGTTCTGTTACATCTTTCAACAACGCCCAAAACTTCTGGATGTTCGGGTGTGTTAAATCTAGGACAGCACTCCAATCGTTTCAACATCTCCTTTGTGAGTTGACTCGTGAAGTTTGTTCCGCAGTCAGAACTGATTATTTTTGGAATGGAATGTGTCATGAATATCTGTAATAAAACTTCACAAGTGGCTTTCGCACTCAGCGATCTGAGAGGGTAGGCCATGGGCCAACGCGTGAATAAGTCCACTGTTACCAAAGCGTAATTATATTCCGGTTTAGGTCCTATTTCCGTGATCATCGTTCCAATGCAATCTATAACCAAATGACTGAATGGTAATTCGTCGTTTCGAGGTATCGGTGTGATGGGAACTTGTTGATCTCTTTTAACTGGTGCTCTGAGTTGACAAATTACACACGTTTTACAGTACTGTCGTACCTTTTCTGTCATATCTGGGAACCAGAAATTTAATCCGATACGATAACGCGTTGTCTTATACGCCATATGCCCTGCAAATATGGGGCATCGTGTCCCAGATGTAATATGGTTTGGATCCTCGAAATTGGGAGACACAATTGTTTTACCTTGCGTCCTAATATTTCTTCTCGATGATACAACAGACCCTCTTCTATGAAGAAGTTGTGTTTTCCGGTTTTAGCGTATTCCCAACACCTTTTTAATGATTCACACGCTAGTTGTTCTTCAAGGAGTGTTGATTTTTCAGCAACCGCGCTATCCTTACTTACCGTCTCTTCTAAATCGGGTTTGTCAACTTCCTGGTCTTCGTCGGTTGATTCTTCTACGTCGGACGCCGGATCTTGTCTTTTCACTTTTGCTTCATTTACCGACTTTTCTATTTCCCTTTCAACTAGTTTGACTTCGACGGTCACTGGATTTACTTGTTCGGTTTTGTCAACCACCGGGTTATCGCAGGTTAATTCGTTTCTCTTACTTGCCGAATCCTGCATCTTTTGCAACTTCATTGATTCATCAATTTCTGACAGGTTTGTTTGCGGCATCGGGACGTCATAATATTTCATCTCCTCGATTAAGTCAACGACACTTGGAGTTAATAATAGCCCTTCACATAGTTTGGGAACAATTGCGCAATATATCTTCACTACTGGCGCAATATTTGTTTGTGTCTTATCCTTACAAGTAGGTTTGATCTGATTCCATACACCTTTCGTATGGTCGAAATGTTGTCCAATTCCCTTTATTGCTATAGTGTCTACCGGCTGTAATTTTAACTGGCAGCTGATCTCTTCACTGGTGCAGCATATTTCTGATCCACTATCAATTAACGCCTTTTGATCAATCTCATCGTTAATATTTACTTCGATGTACTTGCGATCATAAAATTTGTTTGCTTCAATGACAACTTCCTTTGTTCTTATTGGTGATTCGATTTCAACTGGTGTCTGCGTTTTTTTGTCCGTCTCACAGCGCATGACGTTTCTAGTGGCCGTAGGTGTATTTCTATTTTTCCATGTACAGTGCTTTGCAATATGACCAATCTTCCCGCAAGAAAAACAGGTCTGTTTGGGTGAAGCTGATTTGTTGTTGCTACTTCTATACATCTGGTGCTCATTTTTTCGAAATGATTGTATCTGATTGATACTCTCCGGCATATATGTATTGTCGCTCGAAACTTTCATGTTCATGGCAGCTTCATATTTGTCGATCGTTTGTGCCAACACGTCAGGACTCATCCAGGAAGCTGCTTGCTCATGTGACAAAATAAATTCCAGAGTATGTCTTGATAGCAACTCTTTCATTCTATCTGCACATATCAATTTCATTGCATCTTCTAATCCCGTAATGTTACGGCTTTGAAAATAGTGGTTCAGCGTGCCGTATAATATCGCTCCGAAACTCGTGTACGATTCGCTTTTTTGTCTTCTCAAGGCGAAGAATTCATCTCTCAATTTTGTCGGGTTTAACCTGAACTCCTGCAGAATGAGTCTTTTAATTTCGCTATAATCCTTCAGACCGTCGGCGGAAATAGTATGCAACCATGTTTTGGCCTTTTCGTTCAAACTCATTATCAACAAATTGGCTTGAATTTCTCCGTCTACGTGATAGTTTCGAAAAATTTTTTCTACGTGTTCAAAGAATGCAGGAATATCTCTTGGCTCTAACGGACAAGTTCCTATCAGATGTTTTAACGACTCCGCGAAAAATCGAGTCTGTTGCATTAGTTTTATCGTGTTATTATCCTCACCAGCATCATTGGCCACTCTTCGATTATTATTCATACCTTCTACCTCTAGTCGTCAAATTTTTAATTCTTGACTCTTAAGCCTGAATTCGGCTTCATCTCTTTCACGCTGTCTGGCCATCTCTGCTTCATCTCTTAATCTGCATCTGCTTAATCCACGTGATCATGTAATGGAACAATTTCCATTACAAACACCCCCGGGCCAACATCAATCGCTACAGATATCTACAACAACCTCTACATCAATACCATCTACCTCAATCGCTACAGCAATTTACAACAATCTACAGCAATCCACAACAACCTCAACTTCAACATCAACACTCCCAGCCCATCTATCTTGCACCAATTCGTCATCAGCAATACCAGTGGTAGTCTCATCAACTCGTAAGAGATGCAACCACCCCAATCGACGCCCCTCACCAAATCATCCCAATCTCATCAACATCAAATTCCCCCCAACTTACAACTCCGCCAAAATCATCCCATGACATCTACACCCCGACATCATCATCATCACCGAGTCATGGCTTAGGTCAGATCACCCTGATGGTCTGATCGCAATAGATGGCTACACACCCTTCAGAAAAGACCGCCCTGGCAGGCGGCGTGGAGGTGGCGTTGTCATCTACTTGAAGTCATCCATCTCATCTCAAATTCACATCGTTCCACCTAATGCTGTCAATGATACACTGAAAACCATTTGTCTCAAGTGCATTATTGACAGTGAACCATACATCATCTATGCCATCTATCATCCTCCTAATCATCCATTATATGAAGTCTCCACCATGATGTGTTACATCGATGAACTCTCTAACACTGCGCTGGGGAGCGACTCAAAACTCGTCATTGGGGGTGACTTCAATCAACTCGACCATCATTCCATCCTTCAAACAGGTCTACACCCTATATTCTGGGGTCACAGCCTTGACAGAATATATGGGATTAATGTAAACTTGGATATCACTTTCACATACAGGTCGCACGTTTCAACACATCATCTTGGGGTGGTTGCTGCTCCTCCACCTCCACCAACTATCTCAACATCAAGAAACAACACCACTAGAAAAACCATCTCATTTCGCCGACGTCGTCCTTCACAGAGTATCGCCTGCTTTCAATATCTCAACAACATCAACTTCAATAATATATTCGACTTCAACATCACCAACACCGATCATTGTTCGCTAGCAATTTCTAACAATAATACAATTAATCTTGATAATAATAAAATTTACCATGTTAATAATAGTAATAGTGATAATAATTGTAACAATATAAATAATATTAATATTAGTGCCAATAATAATAATAATAATAATAATAATAATAATAATAATAATAATAATAATAATAATAACAACAACAATATTAACAATAATACTATCTCAGCTAACTCTATTGCCAATTTTTTGCAGCATTGTTTTGATAAATTCTATAAAATCATTAATTCAACTTACAGTAAGTACTACCCAGCATCAAACATCACGCTTAGATCATCAGATCCCCCATTTATCAGCCCATTCATCAAATTTTTACTTCGCCAAAAAATAAACTCATGAGATTAGGATCCACCCTCAAAGCCGCAGCGATCACCAAATACATCAATAAACTCATCATCAACTTCAATTCAAAAACATTCACTAATAGTAAGCGTGGAAGCAAAGCCATGTGGGAACAAGTTAACAAGATTAGAGGCTCTGAGAAATCACCCAACACATCAACCGTGCAGCATATTGATGCCAACACACTCAACGCCCACTTTACTTCCATGTCAACCGACCAGTCCTACAAAATTCCATCAACAAAAGCTACTGCAATCAATAATCATCAACACCAACAATTTACACCATATTCCGTCCTCCACATGCTAACGAAGGCTTGCCCATCCGGTACAGGTCCAGACGGTCTACCAGCATGGTTTCTACAAATCATCGCTCCATTCATCTCCAGCACCTTATGTTCACTCTACAATCACTGCTTAATTCACTCATTCATCCCATCACAATGGAAATCCAGCACAATCCATCCAATTCCTAAAACAAAACACCCATCATCACCAATAGATTATCGCCCAATATCTATCACCCCCATTCTTTCTCGTATTCTAGAAAAATTCATCGTTAGGTCATTCATCTATCCATGTTTCAACCATCCATCCATCAAACCACTATTACAAGACCAGTTTGCATTTCGACCAACAGGCTCATCTACATCCGCCATCATCTCTCTTACTTCCACAATAACATATTTCCTTAAAAATAATAATTATGTTCATCTTATTGCCCTTGATTTCTCTAAAGCTTTTGACACTCTCAATCACTTTTCACTTTCAAATAAGTTAGCCTCTCTTCCATTACCTGACAACATTTACAAATCCTAATTAATTTCCTATCTAATAGGAGTCACTCTACTCTTTTTAGCTCTACTCTTTCATCTACTCTACCTATTAAGTCTAGCGTAGTTCAAGGTTCTGTCCTTGGCCCATCTACCTTCATCATCAACGTTTCTACTCTCAAAACTTTCCATAGCTCAAATCATCAAATACGCTGACGACACCTACCTTATCATCCCATCATCTAGCTCAAACACCATCCAATCAGAACTCGACTCATTAACAACATGGTCAAAACGATGCAATCTTTCACTTAATCTCAATAAATCATTTGAACTCATCATTCACAATAGCCGTAAAAAAATAACATTACCTCCTGAACACCCATCAATTACTCGCACAAATCAATTAAAAATATTAGGCATCACATTCTCCTCCACACTCAATATAGCACCTCATATCAATTACATCATCATCACAAAAGGCTTTCAAACATTTCACGCACTCAAAACACTCCGTTCACATGGTCTCAGAGGCGTCAAATTATTCGACATCGCCGAATCACTCATCATCTCACGCATCAAATATGCAGCTCCCTCCTGGTCTGGTTTTGCCACGCAACAACAATTTCAGTAGCTACAATCTCTCATCAAAAAATTAATTCGCTTCAACTACCTACCTGCATCATATCCTACCATCACTCAGATATTCAACACACTCGATTCAAGGCTGTTCAAGAAAATAGAAAATAACAACAACCACGTCATCCATCCTCTACTACCACCAATCAAAACTACAACACTCAACCTTCGTCAGCGCAAACATAAATATCAAGTCGCCGCCCAATCTACATACCAGGAAAAGACCTTCATCACAAGACACCTTAAACATATTAGCACCTCATCATAACTGAACTAGTTTTTACTTATTAATCACCTCAGTTTTATCGATCACCTCACTAACTCACTAAGTCATCATTTAGTCTATTAATAAGTCACCAAATATATTAATACTCATTAAAAATTTGCGATTAGTGGGAAATTTATTAACAACAAAATTACCTTCGGTTTCGTCGAACTCCTCTTGTAGATAATCATCGCCATATTTTTTTGTCAAGCCATTCCTCGTTCGAATCCATTTTGCCGCGTCCGATTCGTACTTGTTTAAATCATCACCGACATGATATCTGCCGACAAAATCACCATCCCCACCACCACCATCGTCATCGTCGTCATAACTCTCTTCTTCTTCCTCCTCTTCTTTTATCATGCAGCCAGGCTCGTCTTTCTTGCACGGGATAAACTCCAAAGTTTGAGATCTCTTGTCGGGAGTTTGGAAGTCGTTGCCAACTTTTCTTTCGTTGATGTCGTCACTCCCACCATCATTCTCACCATCATCATCTTCTTCATCGTCATCATCAATGCCGTCATCACTTTCAACGTAATTAACATTAACAATATACTCCAACTGATCAGGTGCTCCAGCATCTTCTTCTGAAGATTTCATCCCACCGACGCTGCCTCCCTGTCTCGAACTTGTTGCCGTCACACTCTGTCGGGGTTCGACGACGGATATATCCTTCTGATTAGGTGCATGTTCGTTTTCGGTGTTGCTACCACTGATGGCGTTGTCGGCATCTCGTTGATGCGTGGCTGCTGTTGCTGCTGAATTACTCCTCTTCAGGATGAAAAATGTGAAAGACTGTTGCAGGCACAGTACAAAATAGAAAATAAAGCAGAAAATTGCTGTGAAATACATGCCGTGTCATGCAAGTTCTCTACGGTTCTCTTACATTTGTTTGTTTGGTTGGCTGGCTGGTTGGCTGATTGGCTGGCTGATTGGCTGGTTGATTAGTTGGTTGGTTGATTGGTTGGCTGGTTGGTTGATTGGTTGGCTTTTTGTTTGTTTGGTTCACTGATCACTTGGAAACCTGAAAATTTGTGATAGTTGATCATTATCGCTCTACTAATGGCAAAATTTTTAACCTAGAACCTTATTAAAAGTATTATTTATGGATTGATAATTTATTGATGAAAATTTAGACCGAGTTGAATTGTCAGTTAATGTGGAAGATTGCATCAGGTTTTATAATATTATCGAATTTTCGTCGCCATACTCACAATCGTCATCTCCAACGTCATCGTCGTCATCTCCTCATCATCATTTTTTAATTACCACTTTCGTTATCATCATCGTCGCCGTCTTCATCATTATTTTCGTCATCATATAACATTTTTTATCATCATCTTGTTATAATTATTTTCATCATCGTCGTCATCGTCATCATCATCATTGTCGGCTTTCTTTAAATTGGGCTCTAAACGAAAAATTCTTAAAAAAAAAGAAATTAAGCGATAGATTAGAAAATCACAATAAAACGTGTTTAAAAAATAATATTTGATACAACAATAATAATAGCAATAATAATATTGCTTTATAATAACTTTAGAAAATTAAGTTATTATAAAAATAATAACTTTAGAAAATTAATTTAAAAAAAAGATTCTACCTTCTCCAATTAATTGCGAAAAATTTTATTTAACAACGAAACTATTAGTCCAGTACTAAACAGTATTGATGATGATAATGATAATGATGATGATGGTGGTGGCGCAACATTCATCACACACAACTGCACAACCTCACAGAATCTCATTTACATAACCCACAAGTCAATTATGATAATAATTATAATAGTCATAAAATAATAACTTATGTAACGCTCAGTTCAACGAGACGAAAACGCTATTTACCGTAAACTCCTTGTCACAAGTATATAAATACAAATCCCTCACTCTATCTCTCACTCTCTCTCTCATCATTTTCACTATCGTTTTCTGTATAGATTGTAATATTTGCCATAGAAATACGTCATGAACTAAGAACTGAACTAAGAAGAACGTTAATTCCTCCAGAAGACAACGTAAAGTGATCACAATTTATTGGGAGGGGTTTCGTATACTATGCACACGTATGACATCTTTTGTATGTGAGGACGTCGTTTGTATCATATATAGCGTCATTTGTATATATTGTATACAAGGGCAAAATTGACTGCCGGTCCAATACTGCAAATTTTTGTGGGAAGCGCTTCTTCTCAACTTATCGCATATTTTGCATTTTAAAACAGTCTCTAAGCGTAATTAAACAATATAAGTTGGCTAAATTAAAAAAGACAAAAATTGTATTCGGGAACTGTTGACTGTCTACAAACCGTCCTAAATCCGCCGGTGCTTGTATACAAAATCATCTTACTCCATCTGTTGTTTGTATATACCGTTCTCCATACCATACCAACCGTACCATCTTCTGTATATAACATCTTGTATTGATATATAGCATCTCGATATATATATATATATATATATATATATATATATATATATATATATATATATATTGCGCACTAGATTCTAGCGTATTCTAGAATGTTCTAGTGACTGGAGCATTCTAGAGTATGCTAGAATCGGACCATCTAGAAGAATCTAGAAACGACGCTTGCGAAGAGTATATAAGCGCACGTCGCTAGTGATTAGTGATATTCGTGATAAGTGATATTTGTGATTAGTGAAATTCGTGATTTTGTGAATAGCGATTCGGTGAATTATTTAAAGCGATATTTGATTTGTTTGTTGACGTTGTCATAGCGATAGATTTTGAACGATTTAAAAATTAATTGTTGCGTTAGTTTGAATTTACTGGAAATAAACGATTAGTTGATTTCTTCTGTAAATAAAGTTTAATAACTAATAATAGTTGATTTCTTCTGTAAATAAAGTTTAATAGCTGTTTGGAATATTTTATTCAATCGAGGATTTGAACCCGTCGCATAGTAAATCGGTTACGACAGCGAGTATTATAACATTGGTGTCAGAAGNTGGGATCTTCGACCCGGCGAATTACTACTCGTAGAAAAAGAACACGATGTCAAAACTGTGTGGTTTGAACGTAGTTCAGCTACGAGAAGGACTACAGAAACGAAGCCTTGTCACAAGTGGCACAAAGAAGTACTAGTAGCACGTCTGAGAGAAGCTCTCATTGACGAAGGTAAGAACCCAGACGAATTCAAGTTTGATGGTGCTGACGAAGACAATGAAATTAGCACAGGCACGTTTACAACCGCTAAAATGATGGAACTTCTGCTTAGTATGTCAACTGAAATAAAACAACAGTCCGAACGACAGACAGAAGAGTTAAAACAACAGATCAAAGAACAGTCCGAACGACAGTCCGAACGACAGACAGAAGAGTTAAAACAACAGATCAAGGAACAGTCCGAACGACAAACAGAGGAGTTGAAACACGTAAAATTGGAAATGGCAGAACAGATTGAAGAACAGTCAACAAGAATAGAAATGATCGAGCAGAAACTTGATCGTCAGACCGTTGAGGTAGATCACAAGATAGACAAATTGAAGCGAGAATTGGAGCAATCCAAAAAAAATGGCCATGCCGTTAGATCACGCATCCGGAAGAACTTTGAAGGTACCAGCATTTGACAGGGAGATGTCCTGGAACGTTTATAAAACCCAGTTCGAAGCAGCGGCAACTAGTAACTGTTGGAACGGAAAAGAACGAGCAACAGCACTGATACTGGCCCTGCGAAGTTCAGCGGCAGAGATTCTTCAGATGATTCCGGCGGAGAACCATTTCAACTATGAAGTTCTGGTTAGCGCGTTGGATTTACGTTATGGTGAAGAACACATGAAACAGATTTATCGGTCTCAGCTTAGAAACAGAACGCAACGATCTGGTGAATCCATTCAGCAGCTAGCACAAGATATCGAACGGTTGACATTGCTGTCGTATCTGACATCAGACCCCGAGCATAGAGACGAAACTGCCCTGGATACGTTTATCAAAGCCCTTCGTGATTCGAAACTCAAGCAATCCCTTCTCTTGTCAGATAAACGAAAACTCAAGGAAGCCGTTGCGCACAGTCTCACTTTTGAATCGGCAAAGCAAGCATCAAAAGTGACGTACGTCTACGCCAAGTACATGAAAAATGCTCTTGCCAGAAGGTGGTTGTGAAACGCGAACCTCAACAGCATGGTGTACCCCAATGCTGGATTTGTGGTGAAAAAGGCCATCTACGTCGTGATTGTAAACACCGCCTAAAAGATAACTACTGCCGAAATTGCGCGACAAGATGGCGCAAAAGAAGAGAAGATGATCCTGTATCACGATCGAAGGGGCGGAAAACTAATAAGAGCCAACTTTGTGGGGCAGAGGTTGGTTAGTAGAATTGACGCCCCCAGTACCGTAATTAACATTTCCAGACTACATCGAAATCGAAACGACCTATGGCTGAACGGAAAAGTTGATCAACGAGAATGTGTAATTACAGTCGACACCGGAGCAACAAAATCGATTTTAAGATCTGATTTGGTACCCAATCTGAAGAAAGAGACTTCTAACAAATACATCCTTCGAATAGCTACCGGAGGAACAGCACCAGTCTATGGAAAGATTTTCCGTACTGTTCAGCTAGGCGACTTGTTATTCGAAGGTTCATTCTTAGTCGCGGATATCATCGACGAATGCATAATAGGTGTCGACTTTCTGACAAAATATGGGTTCAAAATTGACTTGGAAAAACGCATTCTTAGATGGAAAAATACAGAAGTGATAATGGGGGATAGCGACGAAGAATGCATTCGAGTGACAGTCGATTGTGACATAGAACTATCTCAATCATCTGAAAACATCGTATGGGGCAAGTTGAATTGCGATCCTGGGGGCCACCAGTTCTATTTGATGGAGCCAACCTCAACGAAAAATGTACAGAACGCGGTCATTGGAAAATGCCTGGTAGAAGCGAACAAAAATGGTCTTATTCCTGTCAGAATAATGAATACCGCTAAACACATTATTAAAATTAAAAAAGGCGAGGAAATAGGTAATTGCCAATCAATAAATTTGGTAAAATCATTAGATATGGAGCAACAGGAAAAGGTTCTACCAACTGACAAAGGTAGACTCAAAGAACTTACCAAAAATCTACTGGATGAACTCAATTTGTATCAAGAAGACCGTCTAAAAGCCGAGGCGTTGATTGCTGATTTGCAGACGTGTTTTCAACCGGTGACGATGACCAAGGTAAAACAGCTCTGGTAACTCACCGAATTGATACTCAGGATGCGAAATCGATCCGACAAGTACCACGACGTCTTCCTCTAGCAAAACAAACAGAAGTAAACGAAATGATAACGATAATGCAGAATCAAGGCGTCATCGAACCGTCATCAAGTCCCTGGATTTCGCCAGTTGTTTTGGTAAAGAAGAAGGACGGCTCTACCCGTTTTTGCGTTGATTATAGGAAGTTAAATGATGTGACTAAAAAGGACAGCTATCCGTTACCGAGGATTGATGACATCATGGACACCCTATCTGGCTCAAGTTGGTTCTCTACGCTTGATTTGAAAAGCGGATACTGGCAAGTAGAAATCGACAAGAACGATCGCGAAAAGACAGCGTTTTCTATCGGATCGAGGTTGTGGCAATTCACCATCATGCCATTTGGATTGTGCAATGCTCCAGCTACATTCGGGCGACTGATGGAATGTGTATTGCAAGGTCTTAACTGGAAAACCTGTCTTGTCTATTTAGACGACATAATTGTTCTAGGAAGAACATTTGATCAACACGTCGAAAACTTACGAGAGATCTTCACAAGACTTCGGGTGGCAAATTTAAAGCTGAACGTTAAAAAGTGCAGGTTATTTTCTAAAGAAGTTAACTATTTGGGACATGTGGTATCTTCAGATGGAGTTCGAACCGATCCCAGCAAGATAAAAATTGTGAAAGACTGGCCAACTCCAAAAGATAAAAATGAATTGCGCCGTTTTCTGGGATTGGCAACGTACTATCGACGTTTTGTAAAGGATTTTGCAAAAGTTGCCAGACCTCTCCACCAACTTACCGAGAAGGACCGAGTTTTCAACTGGAATACCCTATGCGACTCAGCATTTGAAAAGTTAAAAGTTGAACTATGTGATGCTCCTTTGCTAGCATATCCAGTTCGTGGCAAGACGTTCGTGTTAGATACTGATGCAAGTAACAACGGAATCGGAGCCGTTTTGTCACAGCATATAGACGGAGAAGAAAAGGTGCTAGCGTATTATAGCAGAGGATTCACAAAACCCGAACAAAACCATTGTGTGACCAGGAAGGAGTAACTAGCAATAGTCAATGCAACAAAACACTTCCACAAGTACCTTTATGGACAGAAATTTCTTCTCCGAACTGATCATGCAGCGTTAACATGGCTCCTCAACTTCAAGGATCTTGAAGGACAGATGGCCCGATGGTTGGAGCGTTTACAAATGTACGACTTCGAGATCGTGCACCGCAAAGGAACAACTCATAGTAATGCTGATGCTCTCTCACGTCGACCATATTTACCAGGATGCAAATATTGCTGTCGTCACGAGGAGAAGATACAATCGGAAGACATAAGAGCAACAACAATATCAGCGGATGACGGTTGGACACCGACGGATCTTGCTGATGCACAGTTTGCGGATGAGGACCTACAACATCTGATCACATGGAAGAAGGAGGGCAAGCGACCGGACTGGCAAAGCATCTCAGAATATAGTGCCGTGTTAAAGGGTTATTGGGCTCAGTGGGACTCTTTGTATTTGGATGGGAATTTGCTGAAACGAAAATGGGAATCAGCTGATGGATCAAAACACCGCATGCATGTTGTAATACCAAGAAGTAGAACGACCGAAATCCTTGATGAAATCCATGGCGGCCCTTCTTGGGGACATTTAGGAGTGAACAAGACCCTTGACAAAATACGAGAAGGATTCTACTGGCTTCACGTTAGAGAAGATGTAGAGAGCTGGTGTCGAAAATGTAACACATGCGCTTCAGTCAAAGGACCCAAAAGAAGGCTAAAAGGAGCAATGCAAATCTACAATGCTGGTGTCCCCTTTGAACGGATTGCTATAGATATTGCTCGACCCTTTTCGGTATCAGATTATGGAAACCGTTACATTCTGGTTGTAGCGGACTATTTCAGCAAATGGCCTGAGGTGTTTCCAATACCCAACCAAGAAGCATGTACCGTCGCTGAGGAAATTGTACTCAATTGGATTAGTCGATATGGTGTCCCATTGGAACTCCACTCAGATCAAGGTCGAAATTTTGAGTCACAACTGTTTGGTGAAATGTGCAAGCTGCTGGGTATAAACAAAACTCGAACGACACCTCTTCACCCACAGTCTGACGGTATGGTGGAACGATTCAACCAAACCCTGATTGAACATCTGGCTAAAATAGTCGACAAAAATCAACGGGATTGGGATCGTCATATACCATTGTTTCTTATGGCATACCGGAGTGCTATCCACACAACTACTGGAGAAACGCCATCAAAAGTTCTGTTTGGGACTACCTTAAGAACTCCAGCTGATGTGAAATATGGCGTACCACCTGAACCACACCAACCATTAACAGAATACGTGGATAATCTTCGACAGCGATTAAACCATATCCACCGTTACGTACGCCTTAAAATTATGAAAAATACGGAGGCGGCCAAAACCAGATACGACTTGAAAGGAAGCAGTGGCGGTTTTGCTGTCGACGAGTTAGTTTGGCTGTACAACCCACAGCGAAAGAAAGGACGTTCTCCAAAGCTACAGCGAGGGTGGGAAGGACCTTATCAAGTCATCACCCGCTTGAATGACGTCGTCTACCGTATTCAGGAATATCGGAAGACGAGAGCAAGAATGAAGATCGTTCATTTGGATAGACTGGCTCCGTACCATGCGGACACCGGAACGAAAGCTGTTCGGGACGAACAGAACTAAGAAGGGGGTAATGTTATAACCGTGCTACCGAACGCACTAGATTCTAGCGTATTCTAGAATGTTCTAGTGACTGGAGCATTCTAGAGTATGCTAGAATCGGACCACCTAGAAGAATCTAGAAACGACGCTTGCGAAGAATATATAAGCGCACGTCGCAAGTGATTAGTGATATTCGTGATTAGTGATATTCGTGATTAGTGAAATTCGTGATTTTGTGAATAGCGATTCGGTGAATTATTTAAAGCGATATTTGATTTGTTTGTTGACGTTGTCATAGCGATAGATTTTGAACGATTTAAAAGTTAATTGTTGCGTTAGTTTGAATTTACTGGAAATAAACGATTAGTTGATTTCTTCTGTAAATAAAGTTTAATAACTGTTTGGAATATTTTATTCAATCGAGGATTTGAACCCGTCGCATCGTAAATCGGTTACGATAGCGAGTATTATAACAATATATATACTTTTTTTGGTAACAGACTGTTGTTAACGCAACATTTCAAAAATTCAACACTACTTTCAACATTGTTCAACTTTTTTATATTTCTTTTTAATTTGTTATTGAAATATAATATACATATATATATAAATATAATATATATGTGTATATACAATATATATAATAGTTTCCCTATATATATATATATATATATATATATATATATATATTTATATGGCTTCTACATAAATAAAGATGATGTATGAGACGAGAGGTACGTGTAAATACATTGTATATTATCTTATTTATGTTATGTACAATTGTACATGTACACATTGATAATAATGTGTATAAGCGCGTACAGACATCTTTTATATAAACGTAAATATGAATAAAATTTTGTATAAATATGAAATAAAATATTTTTTTTAGTCTTTATTGAATATTGTATAAATATTCGCTATATGTAAGATGCAAACGCACTTGTAAATATAATATATACATAGCTTTATTTGTTGTATAACATAGTTAACGTATAACATAATTCAAAGAAGGATTTGTGCAGGTTCGTGCGTCAACCAAAATATTACGAATGTTAAAACAGGCATCATCATCTTTGTGGGCGTCCATGTTTTCACGAGCGTACATAACACTGGTCAACACCCAAAAAATTTCCTAAGGTCTTTCGGCTGATTTATGGAAATTTTGATGTCCTGAATCCAAATATTTTTCTAGATCAGGTCAACTTTCTAAGCTATGGCCATATCTTCATTTTCACTTTTTTGTGTACAGTCCCAGGTATTTTCGCTGTATGTGATGCTTTGTTCTTAATCACTTCATCACTATGAGGAATTTGCAATTTTTAATTAATTGGTATTTTTATGTTTCCCCTATGCACACACACACACACGTTCAATGCATTAAATCACGTAACTACAGTCACGTGATCAGACAATCGCAGACATGCCCGGACGAGGCTGTGTATAACTATGGATAGTTACGTCAGCATTTTCCAAATCTGAGCCATATAGCAGATTGCATTAGTATAGGTATCAGTTGCAAATGAATCGCAAGCGAACGACATGGCTTCCAAGAGAAGGTCTTGTAAAAATAAATCATTAGTTGTCTTGGTGTTAGCGTCTGATTAGGCTGGCTAAGTTGAAAGAATTGCTTTTTTTCCTAATTAAAATTACAGATATTTGTTGCTAAAAATTTATTATTCCAACATTTTAGAAACATTTTCGGCTTAATTTGACCGAAACAGAAACCTGAAAAAAATTAATAATTATACATAATTAGATTAATAATTAAAATAATTAAATTATACAGCCTTTATACAAATCATACCACGATAATGTATAATTCGCGTTAGACCAACCAATGCGAGAAAAATGAATCATACAGAAACGTACACCCGCATACACTAACGTACGTATGCATACATACGTAGATAAATACCTATGTACGCTCTTACGCAGCACATATGAATGGATGTAGAGGAGACTTGTACAACAGTCTGCTTGCCCACCGTGAGCAGAAGCCAGAGATGCTCTCATTCACAAATACGCGTTCATCCAATGCGCTGAGTTTGTAAGATGTATGTGTTTTTGTATTCATATATGCGTTTTCTTTTGCAAATTTGTATTTGCGTTCCTATATTTGTGTGTCTGTTTATGTGTTTGTGTGTCTTTGACACAACTCATTACAATCATGCCAACAAATGTAGGCTCATGGATGGCAGTGTTTGCAATGCTACGTTCATGTAACAATCATAACATTTTCTTATGTGGTGACATTCAAACAAATCAGTTCGAGGACATTTTTAAACTACAAAGAATTTTTTATAAACACGAAAGAACTATCGTAAGCAAATCATAGGGGCACTAAACTGAAGGCAAACACTTAGGCACTCTCATGATCATGTATTTACAGTGTAACAAATCACAACACACACACACACACACATACACACACACACACACACACACATATATATATATATATATATATATATATATATATATATATATATACATATATATTTCCTACACTTACGCATATATATATATACACAGTATATGTTTGTATATTTGATATGATATAGAGACTGCCATGGCTAAGTTGTTGAACATACGCCCACGCATTTTAAGCTACCGCCAGCAGTTGTTTTTCTGTATAACCCATTTACGTGCCGCACAACATCACGTAGACGCGCGTCTATAAATATACACGGAAGGCTAGCTCCAATAGATAGAAGTACATCCTCACGGACCTCCATGAAACCTTGCACGAGTGTGTACGCCCACATGTCGAACTGTTAAATATGGATTTGTTAAAATACAATGCATGTACAATTTATACGCATGTATTTCTGTACATTTTTGCGTGTACAATCACGTGTTTGTACTGTGAACTTGGCCACTGGGGTGCATTATTTTATGAACTTCCAAGCACACATTCACGTTGTCCGTGGTTATAGATTGTATCATCAGTTTGATCGTGGTTGTTCCTTCCTAATGTGTACACCTTCTTTCGTCTCTCTGTCGTTTTATAGAACGTAAAGAAGTGTACAATGTATGTTCATCAGAGGTGCAGCCAATCAATGGGAGAGTTCCTCGCGACAAGCATGATTGTTTGGGTTAGAGTTGAATTTAAAAAAATTTCTTTGAAAATTTTATGAATTATGTCATCTTTCATTTTGAGACCCTCGACAGATTTGATTTCTACCTAAATGTAGCTATTTGTTATAAATATTTGTTATTATGTTATATAGCTTTTAATTTGTTATAACTTTTAAAATTTCACTTTTCTGTTCGTTCATCTAAGTAACTGCAGGCGAGTTATTTTCCAATTTTATATCTCTGCTTCTAAAAGGTTTGTTCATGTACCAAAATTAATTATAAAACAACTACACTGATAAGTTTTATAACATGCCAAAATAATACTAATCCAAAAAAGCTGTTGCTATACACGGAAACTGAAAAAATGACTAACTAGCTCAATATTTCGCTGCGATATTTATGAACTAATTATAAGCTGTGTCGGTTCATCGTCTTTTCACCGCTGTTTGGCGAGTGTTCGTTTATCGTTTCGTTGTTCTGTAAATGATTTCTCAAAATATTTGTTTATCTTCCCCAAAATTGTAATATAAAAACACTAAATTTGCCTTTCTATCCAGACAAAAATGTAAAATTTTAAAAAGTTATAAAAAATAAAATGTTTTTGTCATATTTTTGACTTAATTTGTTGAAGGATTTAACAAGAAGTGTTAAAGGGCCGGTAATGATTTTATACATTACTATATATTTTTGGACGAATAATTACATATTTTTATTTTCAATCACTGATTTTTGTTGATTGAAACATCAAATTGTAAACTTTTTCATAATTTGTTTAAATTATTTTTATCAATAACATATTTTAATTAAAAAAAATTAACTTATTTTTTCAAGTTTTACTGCAAATTTTTAACAAAAAACCAGCACAGAATAAGCAATTGTATTGTCATATATACATATAATAAATAAACAGCAGAAGCTTTCCATTAACTTTCTCGCTTCGTTTAATAATAATAAATAAAATATTATTACTAAACATTAATTAATCACGAAATCTAAACGTTAACATCATCAGTTTAGATTTTCGAGTAGCCTACTGTCCAAACTGAAAAGGCTCTTAATTAAAATTTATTTGTACCTTCTAAAAACCCAGAACAAAAAAGTTACAAACTCTTAAAAATCAGGTTAAATCAAAGACTAATCATAAATGAAAAAATTCTATGGAGAAAAACAGCTCCATTGAATGAATTTTCATCTGGAAAACCGATGCCAAATTTGAGAAGTTGTTACTCCTCAGAATGTCCGATGAGGCGTAGGAGCATGAGGAAGAGGTTGATGATGTCCACGTAAAGTTGAGTGACCGCGAAGATGTAATCCTCTGGACTGATCTGGTACTGTCGGTTGGATCCGCCCATGATCATTTGCGTGTCAAAGATGATGTACTGCGGTTTGTTGTTGCATTTTTGTTGTTGTTGTTATGTTGATGTTGTGTTGTTCTGTTGGTATCGTTGGTGTGTTGTAGTTGTTGTTGTTATGTGGTTATGTTACTCATGTTTGCTTTGTAGGTTATGGTTTGTTGTTATCTTACAATTACAAAATGAATTATTTTATTTTTTGTTGGAGTCTATGTTTTCAATTTTGTAGGCCCATTTTTTTTGTAGACTCTGCCCTTCCTGTTTTGAATTCTGTCCCGAACAAACATTCATCTAAAAAATAAACATACTATACATGCACATACATAAATATACAAACCCATATAACTAAAATAAACATACATACAAAAACATACACATTCAAGACATAGCAAAATATAAAAAAAAACAGACAAAACGTATAAACATACAAAGATACAAAATAAATAAATGATACAAAACATACAAGCGATACGAAACATACAAAAATACAATATCAAAACAACAACAACAGCGACAATTAATACGATTTGCATGACCAGACTCAGATACAAACAATAAAATAACTAACCAGGCAAAACACTAGAGCTCCTATAGAGCAATAAACCATCATGAGAATCTGATGATGATGGTGAGGATGAAAATGGCATTGGTGATGACGATCGTATAGAAAATGATAACGATGTTGATGCTAGTTAGTATGTTGATAATGATGTCGATGTTAGTGATATATACAAAACCGGCACGCACACATTCACACACAACTCACACACATTCACACACACAACTCAAAAACACACATATTCACACACACACACAAACACTCATATACCAACACACTCATACACAAGACACAAAAACACATAGCACTTACAAAAAGCATGCAAACAAATTTACATTTGCAAATATTATAATCATTAATAATAATAATAATTTTATTATTATTTATTATTATTATTAGCGCTTTTTGAAGAAACGCTCCAAGAGTAACCTTGCTACGCCCCCAAATGGCGGTGTAGACGGAGACTGTAATTGCGAAGATGATGAAGAGGATGGAGATGATGCACATGACCCCACCGCATGAAGTGAAGTCAATCTTCGTCTGCATGGCAAAGATCGTGAGGACGAAGGTGATGACCACTGTGGCCGATGCCGCAATGACCACCTGATCCACTCTGTGGAAGCTGGTGGTTGTGGCGGTGTGGCGGTTGTGATGGTTGTGTCGGTGTAGTGGTTGTAGTGATTGTGATGGTTGTGATTGCTGTAGTGGTTATGCTGGGTGTGATGGTGTGCTTCTATTTTGATAATTCATTTTGTGGTTTAACTGTTAGTACTTGTGTACAGATTGTAGCTGTTGAAATTTCTGCTGTTGTAGTTGGTTAGATTGGAAGAGAACTGCGGTCATCTGGTTATAACGAACTTTCGTTCTAAGCGAACAAAAGATTGAAATACTCAAAATTGGTTGGAACCAGCGAATTTCAACGCTGGTTATTTTAGTTTGTCCTGCTTACAAATTATGGCTGCAAAAATTGTAATTGCAACCACTCTTCTACGAACAAATATGAGTTTATTAAAAAAAAAATTAATTTTAACCACCTGCAAATTATTCCAACCATCACCGCGAAGGCTAACGTCTGCCAAGGGTTCAAAGGTTATGAGGATGATGGTGGTGAAAATGATGAAGAGGACGTTTCTGATGACGTCATTGATGATGAGAGTAGTGGTGACTGAATAGCATTAAGATGACGTAGAGCGATCAAGTAATTTTAAACTTAGAAACTTTCTTCAATTTCACGAAACTTCTGAAAATAGTTCGTACACAATACAAAAATTATCGCCATCATTTTTATCGTAATCATCAATGTCATTGTCATCATCTTCTTCATCATCATCATCATTTACTTTGCCATCATCATCATCGTCATCTTCATTGTCATCATCATCTTCATTGTCATCATCATCTTCATTGTCATCATCATCTTCATTGTCATCATCATCTTCATTGTCATCATCATCTTCATTGTCATCATCATCTTCATTGTCATCATCTTCATCGTCATCATCTTCATTGTCATCATCATCATCTTCATTGCCATCGTCATCACCGCTCACCATAACGACGAGAATGATGATGTTGGTCGGATAGGACCTCCTTATTGAAACGCAGCACGGACAGACCAGAAGGAAATAAGTGAACATGGCCACTACGCTGTAAATATCATTGGTTTGCCATCCATCCATCTATTCATCCATCCATTTATTCATTCATCCAACAATTCCTCTATCCATCCATCCGTCTATCCATCAAACCATCCATCCATCCATCTATCCATCCGTCTAGCAATCCATCCATTCGTCTAGCCTTACATCCGGCAATCCACCATTCATTCATTCGTCAGTCTATCCATTTATTCATCCATCCATTCATCCAACAATCTATCCATCCATCCGTCTATCCATCCATCATTCCATCCATCCATCCCTCCATGAACTAACCTGGCCACGAATCTCAACCAGGGACGATCGTGAATGAATTCTTTCGTTGATTCGCTTCCGGGCGGTTTTAATTTTAAAAATATTCACTTGTGAAATTATGACAAATAATTATTAAATAATAAAATGAAATAAATAATAATTTATAATATTTAATGATAATAACATATAATAATATTTGAAATAATATCTGAAATAATAATAAAAATAATAATGAGAATAAATTCATTCAATTTAAACAAAATAAATAATAAAAAGAAATATATTTTATTTAAATAATGTCTGTCAATAATAATAATTGTATTATAAATTATTAATAATAATATTATAATATAAGCCCCGTGATTTAAGTTCGGCTAATGAGATTAAAATATTTTTTAAGATAATTTTTCGATAATTAAATAAAAACCAATACATCAATAATAAGAATAAATATTAAAAGTTAAATCAATAATAATAATAATAATAATAAATTACTCATATGGAAATTTTTTTTAATTAATACGAAATGTCAAAGGCAAAGGGGCAAATCTTGACAATGTTGACTGGAACCAAAATTTGAAAAATGACCCGGGAAAAATGGGTCATAAATGGCCAAATTTTTGCAGATAAGGCCAAAATTAGATTGATGATCATTTTATGGCCTTATCACTCAAATTTGTGGCCTTATCACTCAATTTTTTGTCATTATTTTACTTAAAATTGTGTTTCGTCTGTAAAAAATTGCGAAAAAATGGTATGATATCTCTCCTGTTGAATCAGTGGATCAACATATAATAAATAAATATTAACAACATAACAGTTGTAATACGTGTTCTTACCAACATGTGTAGTTACCATTTTATGTGTAAAAGGTAAAGGACATTGCCGATTTCGATTAACTGTTTTTACAATGTATGAAATTTAGAATATGGCACATCAACTCCTCTTGAGTTTGAGTTCATTCATCATTTTCAGTTCATTAAAATGCAATTGAATAAATGGAAAAGTTTTTTTTTTTACAAAACTTACTTGAAAATACAAAATGCAATAATGGCTGTGGTGCAAGCCAATTGAATGGTCAGGATGGCATAAACCTGCAAGTTGAGTGTTTATATTCAGTCGGCGGGCGTGTCGCGTCGTGTAACTACAGTGGCTGTGTGTCGCGTCGTGTGGTAATTCAGTGTGCGTGTGGCGTGTGTGTGGTGATTGTAGCCAGAATATGTAACGTGTGTTTGGTGTGTGTATTTGAAGTTTGTGTGACGTGTGTGTACCACTGTACATCATAATCAGAGTGTTTGTCGTGCGTGTGTTGTGTATTTGTTCGGAGGAGTGTCCTGCGTTGCGTCGTGTATGTATTTAATCTTGTGTGTGTGTATGTCTGTGCGTATGTGTGTGCGTGCGTGTGTGCGTGCGCGTGTGTGTGTGTCGTGTTACTTTTGTGTGCGCACACTTCTTGTAACGTTGATGGATGTCATCGCTACAGTTTATAAAATAATTTGTTTTACAAATCGATCAACGAAAAAATATTTTAAAAATTATTCTGAAATATTTTAATACAAAATCCTTAACAGAATTTGGTGTGCATGCTAGAGTAGAGAGGAAAATGAGTTGCGCGATGATGAAAATGAAAAGTAGGAAGAGGAAAAACTTTTCTGATGAAGCCATGTCTTATGCTCGTCTCAGTGAACGGATTTTCCTCCATCGACTCCTCCACCACTTCGGCATTGTTGTTGCCCGTTTCTTCACCACTACTTCCTGGATGATCCTGAGAACGCAAAGGTGACGGGGGTTGGTATGGGTGGATCTGTTGATGCTGCTGGGAGAGATAAAGATGCTGATGTGGCTGTGGCTGCTGTTGAGGCGTTTGTTGACTTTGTGGCGGATACTGTGGAAGCTGTGGTTGCGGATATTGTGGAAGCTGTGATTGCTGGTGTTCTGAAAAATGTTGTTGTCGTGGTTGGAATCCAATGTGGGTTGTTTGATCTTGACCCTGGTTTGTCGGGTCAACCACAATTACCGTAGCTAGAAGTTCCATTCTTGAATCTTGATTTTTAGTTTGGAAGGTAAATTTTGTGCCCTTGAAAAAACAAAAAACCTGTGTACGTATTTAAAAAAATTATATATTTCAAAGGTTGTTGAAAATATCGCCAGTTCACCTCTTAATTATTGCACAATTCAAAGTTACTTCATGAGAACATGTCACTCGGGAGTTTCATATTTATTTTTGTGTTTTATTTTATTTTATTTATAATAAAACCAGAATATCACTCAAAACAGATGAAGTATTCTTTTTTTAAATTCTTTTTTTTATCAATATTATAAATGCGGTTCACAGTGCAATACAGCCAACGTGTAAATGTAGATAGGGGTCAAATAACCTCAACTGTGATGGTGTTTGGAGGTGGGTGGGATTAATTTTAAAAGTTTTCAATGATATCAATTCAATTGATCGAAAGATTGGTCGAAGTAATGTAAAGATCGTTTTAATTGAAGCAAACGTTTATGGAATTTAATGAAACCGCCATAGAACATTTGCACCATTTGGTTTTAATTTTAACTCAGCCAATCTCGAACGGTCAAATCAATGGCGAAAGTTTTTAACTAACATTTTTACTTCTGTTGGTTTGTCTCAAAATAATTTATTTTTATAAATATTTGAAAGAAATGAAAAAATTTCAAAATAGTTTTTCTCAAAAAAGAGGATTCCATATTTTCAAATTTCATTTTTCACAACCTGCCATCTAACAAATGATTTTAAAAATGCTCAAGTTGGGGTAAAGTAACCCTAGCCTCAAAGAGACAATTGAAGATATTAAATATAAAAACCTTAGTAGGTAAGCGTCAGTTCGTTGAAATCACTTTATAAAAACGAATATATTATATAAAGGAATGAAACAAATCTTGGGTATGAAAATGTTTGTTTACTTTTCAAATGTTACTACGTCATCCATAGATTGATTTTAAACAGGCATCTGTCTGCTCATTTATATGAAGATAAAGAAACGCGGATAAACTCAAAACTTAAATGCAAAGAATTATGTGTGGAATTAATAGTTTTGGGAAGAGAAGAGCAATAACAGATTTCAGAATGTGGGTTTGGGCTGATGTAAAATACTTCCATAACCTGTAAACTTTATGCGAAGGAACTCTTGGCCAAGATTTTTGTTCTGTTTATTAACTCCTTTTTTGTGTTTATCCAATTGTGTGCTGATTGTGTGTGGTGCAAAATTGGTTCACCATTTTCATAAGATGTGTAAAGTCAGCCGTTTAAATAGCGTTGTCACTGCGATTGTGTACTGCCAAAGTTAGATAGAGCCATCAATCTAGCATTCCTACTGAATGGTAGAAGACGTATGTTTGCTATGAGAGGTTGGTTATCTTTCTGCTAGTGATTTTCGTGAACAGGTTTAAAGTTTATGCATTTTTCTAGTTTATTAGAAGGTTGGATTTGGTTGGATTGGTTGGTGGTTAACATTGATACTATTGAAACGAATAGAAACTTGATCTAAGCTGACAGGCCAGTTGAAAAATTTTATTTCACAAAATAATTTTGTTGACAATTTTAGGCAAAAAGTTATTAGCCAATGACGTGAAATAGATCTCAAACTCCATGAAAAACTTCAAATATATCAGCACAACAATTAGGCATTCGTACAAAAACTTAAGACTATGACGCAATTTTGAAAAAAGTTTTCATATACGATTTAATAAACGTTCCATCTAATAAGAACAATAAACAATAAATAAACGTTGTTCTATCGAAATCCGATGATTACTTTTATTTACTGTTCTCCAAAGAAGTGCTAAATAAAATTGTGAATTAGAAAGCCGTCATGTCAACTCATTCGAAACTTTCCCTAGCAGAGTCCACCATGGATCTCTATCAATGGATGGAAGAGGCGGGCCGCCCACCAGCACCCAGGTTCAAAGTGACCTCCCTCATCAAACATCGAAAAACTTTGAAAAGCTTCCCTCCACTGTGTGCCAAGCCAGCCCCTCCAAAACCAGAGGCTCCCGTAGATGAAAAGGTGGAGGTTGAAAATTTGATGCCAACTGATTTTGATGTGCTGTTGAAGTACATCACAAGAAGCATGCTGAAGGACAGGCCGACCAGCATCGTCAACTACATCGCCGACCTACTGGACGACTGCATCGATAAGAGAAAGCTGGTCAAGATGCAGAGGCTGACTGAGATGGCTGATTTCAAGAATTAATGCTTTGATTTTATTTTAATGATTCGTCGATTGCAAAATTGAAATTTTACTGTTTTATTTGTTTGGTATTCTTTGATTGCCGTAAGTTCATTCTTGTTTTATAAAAAAAAAATAAAAAAAACATGTCACAAAATAGTTTGTGACTTATGAACCAAACATTTGTACAATGTAGATCAGAGATTGTAATAAGAAAGCATAGCAATAAAAAATAGAATGAGATATTGAATCAAAAACAGAAAAAAATATTCTAAATAAAAAACCTTTGGAAAAAATTATTTGAGATAAAATGGATCGTTCGTATACGATTCTGTCACACAATACGAAGAATTCAGTTGGTTTCTGGTCAGCTGGTCACAGACAAGGCAGAAGTAACTTATTTTATTGGAGGCTCTTCAAACCTTCCAGATTTGTTAATCCGCAATGTGAATGCGGCTACGTGGTTGGACTGAAAAGATGGGGAGCGGGGCAGCCGGACAACTCTAACAACGATGAAGACTGCATGGAGCTCTATGTAGTAAGAAACCAACCAACCGGTCCCATCGTCTTCAATGACATATCCTGCACAAAACATAAAATGTGTGCTCTCTGCCAAACTGACGAGATCTAGTGTCTTGCCATCGTTGTGTAATGAAATGAGGAATTTAACGCTCAGTTTTTAAAGTTTCATTTTACTAAAAAAAACGAAAATAGCTGCCTATCTGCCAATGTGGGCTTACTTGTTTGATAGCAATTTTGAATAAAATTGTTTCAGTGAATGAAAGAACATTGCGTTTTCAAATTATGAACAAGAATAGGCAGAACGGTGTCATTAGATTTATATGAGAGGCCATACGACATTTATGTAAGAAAATGTTGAATAAGGAGAGCTTTGTGTGGTGAACAATCAGAATTTTCGTAATTCCTCGTAATCATTCATCAAAGAATGCATGAGCCGCAGTTCGAAGTTGAAATATAATATCTCTCATTTTAAATTAAATAATAAAACAAATATTAATTATTTTTATTGAGAAATTAAACAATTATTTGATTTTTATTTAAAATAAAATGAAGACGTGAATTTAATCAGAATTTGAGTCAGACAACATGAAAACAAATTTCGAAAAGTTTTTACGGAAAATAAATGAAAGCTCGTTGGCTTATACATTAAAAAGTTAATCATTCCATGACAAAATCTGATAAAACAACTTTTTTTAAAACATTCCAAAATATATTTTTAACAAATGACAACGAAACTTTTTTCAGCCAGCAATAATTTGTTCGTGAAAAGAAACGCAAAAAATTTGAACCAACGGTAGTACCTATATAAATTTATAAAAACTCAATTTCAAATTCGCAATGTAACTACGCCAAAGAGCTAACAATTGACCAGCCACATACTTTTAAATATTTAAATAAAAAAGTTTTAAAAGCGTTTAGAAAATTTTTACAACTTTTTTGGTCATTGTGGACGTATATCTCGAATGAGTCAGTAGCCAAAGAAAGGAGTTGTCATGATGGAGTACTGCCTGGTGATGATGAATACGTAAAAGATGATGTTGATGACCAGGTGAGCACTGACCGCTGCAAGAAAGACGTAGTTGTCTGATTTATGACTCCAAATGTTCAGAACATTCAGTCTGTTGATGTTGTTACTCATGTTGATCAAGCCGTGGTACATTATTACAAAGACCTGCAGCATCACGTTCGCCAAGTAGTACGTGTCCTTTGTTTTAATTAAATTCTATCAGTTTTTTTTATCAACTCTGATTTTCAGTTTGCAGGTAATAATTATCATTAAATTATAATTATAATTGTTTTTTTGGATTTCAAATGAAAACTAATCTGAGAAACAGAAGTTAGCCGGCCACTTGCACTCACCATAGACGTGAAGAGATATTTAGTGGGCAATGAGAACACTCTTATGGCGTATTTGTAAAAGATGGTGATGCAAAGTATCATCAGACTGAGGTTCAGTTTAATGTAAATTTCAAAAGTTTCAAATAAAGTAACAATCTGTACACTGGTCAGAAGGTACTGTAGAGTGAATGAATAAATGAATGAATGCATGGATGAATGAATGAACGAACGAATGAATGAATGAATAAACGAACGAAGGAACAACGAATGAATGAACATTGATATATAGGTCATATACAGGGTTGGTAATAACGAACAACACGAATTTTTTCAACGCCATGTTATTAAATTTATCATTTACGTTCTTTTGGTTTAAAATATCATTAAAATGATGATTTTAAATAGAAAACAAAAATCTGATAAAATTGTTTTTATATAAAATTTGTTAAAAGTGTTCATTGAAAGATGCGTTCAAATATTTTATTCAAAATAATTTTTTCATTTACCATGAAAACGAAGAAGTTGATGATGAAGAATTTGGTCTTCCTCCTGGCCATGATCTGTACCTGGAAACCCAAATGTTTCGTCTCGTCATCGTAGATGATGTCGTGTTTGATAAACGTGCCAAAATGGAAGATCTCATTATTTATGGGGTCGTTGATGACGGGCCGACTGTCTTCCTCCGAAGTCACCACCAGATTCAAATCCTCGGGCGAGTGACGAGACATTATCGAAAACGTCAACAACTTGAAAACAAGTGTTTTAATTATATAAAAATGTACTTTTTAATTTGTATCTCAAGTTGCCTATAAAATATTTCGTTTTTTAACACGACAAAGTCAATGCTTTTCTATCAAGATGAAAAATTACTGTCTTTAATCCGTTTCACCCGTTCAACCCCCCAGATAATGAGAGTTAAGTTTTTTGATAACAGCATTTTTTATCATTTTTTTTTTCTAACAACTGACTATTGCCAAACTTTCAGCAATTTTAGACATATTTTTTCAAAGCTCAAACAAAACTAAACAAAAGTATCACATACTACCTGATGGTTTTTAGTGAAGTATTGATGTAAAGTTGTGGGAAAAAATCCAACTTGAGTGTCGAAAGGGAAGTAGGTCCACTCCATTGCCTGATAGAAAGTTCCGGAAATATGCATCTCTTTCACCACTATATTTTCGCCCGACTCGTTTGCCTCGGACATTGTTCTGGAAACTTCGCACGAGACGTTTATTATGTTCTCTATGAACAACTCTGGATTCCAGTGTACGCCATTCTATTTTGTTGAAATTTGCGTTAAGAGAAAATTTTTCATAAAATAATTTTGGGTGAAATTCTTAAAAAGTAAAATTAATTCTCGGTAATAAAAAAATTATATACATATTTTGGTGATAATTAAATAGGTGAGTAATATTTGTAATTACCTACTAGGAAGGCTAACCTTATAACTTGCTTTCCATGTGACCTGCCCAGAACATTTGCATCATCGTGTTTTTTGTAGAGGTAAGTATAAATAATTTTTTGCTTGTTTATTTAGCTGATTAAATCTTGTAAATAAACTAATTTTTGTGATTATAAATATCTTTAACCTGCATAAAGATATCCGAAATGAACTGCTCCTTCATCAAATCAATGTCGCTAACACGAATCTTGGATACATTTAATATCACCAGGTTCGACTGACGGATAAAAAAACATGAAAAATAATACAAATACAAAAAAAATCAAATTTCAAATTCATTTTATTTTGAAAAGAGCAAAAAAATCAATTTTTAAAATGATTTTTGTTGAAATAATATATATGTATATTATATATGTTTCAATACATTTATGACTTTCCATAGTTTCAGACAATCTTATTTTCATTGCTAACTTGACTTACTTGCACGTGTATTCTTATCGCTTTTTGTCGGCTAACGTGTTTTCTAATATTTCAATTAACATTTCTTTAATAAACAATTATATTAAAAACAAACAAAGAAGTTTTTTATTTTAAACAGGTTGTGTGCCCAGAACGCTTAATAAATTGTTTAGAAAAAAAGTTATTTTGAAAAAAAAGAAAGATTGCAATTCGTGACTAAAAGAACTTTTCCAACTATAATTGAAGCAAGAACATCAATTTTTTTTTTCCTTCAAAATGAACTCAAAGCTTCAAATAAAACAGTTAAGTTGCGCAGCCGATTGGCCCATTTGGAGATTTCATGGACTACCATGAGGGCGAACTCGATGTGATTGATGGGAAGTTGTCAAAACCAGAATTACTAGAAAATCAAACAGAGCAACAGACAAAAGATTTTAAAAATAAATCAGATCTGTTTAGAAAGGCAAACAGTTATGCCAAATCAGTAATTGTGAATGCAGTCACAGAAGATACATACCAAAAGATAAAAGATAATGGACAAGAACACAGCGTTTGAAGTTTGGGAGGAATTAAAAATAAATTTTGGAGCGTCAACTAAGGACCAACTGTTCCAAGTTTGTAGCAATTTTTTCGATTTCAATTGGATAGCGGATGTAGATGTATCCGGCCAAATTGCAAGATTGAAGACTTTATGGAACGAATTAAACAGTGGGCTTCAGGCATCTGGAGAAAATAAACTACCAGAGCTGCTATTAGTATGCAAAGCGATGCAGATTCTTCCAAATAGTTTCCAAAACTTCAAATCAAGTTGGCTAATGCTAGGTGAAGAAAAGCAGTCGATAGATGATTTAATCACTCATCTCTGTGCTTTCGAAAGAGAGATAAAGACTTTCGACACAATCGATAAATCATCAAGGCAGAACGTCTTAGTTGTAAATGTTGAAAAGCCAAGTTTCAACAAATCAAGAGATTTCACTAAAAGGACAAAACCAGTTGGTAACTGCAACTATTGCCATAAACCTGGACACTGGGTTAAGCAATGTAGAAAGTGGGTCAGTGATGGAAGACCTTCTAAAAATTCCAAAAATGCTTCAGCGACACCAAGAAAAGCATATGATGAAACATCAAATGTAGTTTTGTGCGCGTCAGCCAGTAATCAAACACTGAGAGACAACATCAACTGGTATATTGACAATGGAGCAACAAAGCACCTAACGAACAATCCAGATAATTTTGTTACTTTTGAGAAGTTTGTCGCACCATGTTCTGTTCAAGCTGCAGGAAAAGAAGTTCTTGCTGCTGTGGGTAGAGGCGAAATAAATATGCTGTCAACAGTAAATAACAAACAACAGTATATAAAACTCTCAGATGTCTTGTATGTTCCAAATATAGGTAGAAACCTGTTTTCCATATTAGCCGCACAAGATAAAAATTCAAAAAACAGCAAGTTTGAATCTTATGCAACCAAATGTCAACTCAGTATAAAGAACGGAGTGGTAGTACAAGGGACAAGACGAGTAGATGGTTCCTTGTATGAGGCAAACTTGATTTCATTAACTCCAGATACACCGGCTGAAGTGAATATAGTCAGTGAAAATTCAATAGTGCAGCTCTACCATGAACGTTTTGGTCATCAAGATTAACGTCACATAAAGAATGTTATAGAAAAGGAGTTAAACATTAAAGTTCATATTGACAAGGATTTGTGTGAACCATGTCTCTATGGTAAAGCACATCGGTTAAAATTTGGCAAGAGAAATGCAACCAATAAACCAGGTGAACTACTATCAGCAGATGTTTGTGGTCCTTTCAGTACAGAATCATTTAATAGTAAACGATATTTTGTTGTTTTCAAAGATCATTACAGCAAATGAGGTTCATTTCTTTTCTTAGACACAAAAATGAAGTGAAACAGGCACTACAAAATATTTTGTCTCAAGCAGCGACTCAAGGTCATAAAGTAAAAGAATTTTTGAGTGACAATGGGGGTGAGTTTGACAACGAAGAAGTCCGAAACATCCTGCGCAGCCATGGAATCACGCAAAGACTAACAGCACCATATACACCTCAACAAAATGATGGTAGTGAACGTGAAAACAGAACAATAGTAGAAATGGCACGCACATTGAAGCACTCAAATCCAGATTTTGAATTTCCAGTCGCTATGTGGGCTGAGTTATGTTCAACTGCAGTATATTTATTTAATCGAACAGGCAAGTCGTTGATTGAAGATAAAAGCCCATTTGAAATTTGGACAGGTAAAAAGCCGAGAATTAGCTATTTGAGAATAATTGGCTCTACATGTTTTGTTCACATACCTGATCAAAAACGTCAAAAAATGGATAAGAAAGCCATAAAAGGTTACCTTGTTGGTTACGATGGTGACGAACGCTATCGTATATGGCTCAAAAATCAATATAAAATGATATTCTTAAGAGATGTAGTTTTCCAAGAAAAACCTATGAAATGTACATCATTTGAACCAGGGCTTTGGAGCAAGCACTTTTTTGAATTGCTCCGCTCCGGCATAAAAAAAAGTTTGCTCCGCTCCGCTCCGTGCTCCGAGGCGGGAGTGTGTTTTAGAATCAATTAACACAAATTTTTTCAAATATTTTTTTAATCAATCAATTGATTGATTTTTAGTACCACTTCCGTAACGTATAGTTAAATTGATGAAATATACAAAAAATTAAGAAAGTACAGGTTCTAAAAATAAAAATGATACACCATACAGACACAAGATAATCAAGTTAAGTCAATAATTCAATCATTCATTCTAATAAACAAAATAGCGGAAAGCAAATCTTCTTTCATCGATTGTCTGTTATCACTTAGTATTAATTTCAAAGCTGAAAATAATCTTTCAACGCTGGCTTGTGATGTTGGCATACTTGCAGCTATTCTGCTTGACTGTCTGATTCGATCTGGATAATGTGCAATGGCTTCGAAGACATTCACCTTTATTCTTCCAACATCCTCAATAGCTTTACAGTCCTCTTCAAAATGCCTTTGTATTTCACAATCATTTTCAATGTGTGATTTCATAGAAATTTTGCGTGTGTTTTCTCTTCTATCTAGCTCATTTTCAAAATCATCATCATCATCTTCAGAGATAAAATTTAAATCACATGTTGGCTGGGACACATTAACAGATGTTGACTCTTTTGCTGAATCAAATACTTTTTTTCTTTTTAATCGCAATTGATATCAGCC